GACCATTTTGGTTGCCCTCCTCTGGACACATTCCAGTTTGTCAGTGTCCTTAGAATCATAGAATCATAGAATCATAGAAGCATAGAATCATAGGATCATAGGATCATAGAATCATAGAATCATAGAATCATAGAATCATAGAATCATAGAATCATAGAGTTGGAAGAGACCACAAGGGCCATCGAGTCCAACCCCTTGCCAAGCAGGAAACACCATCAGAGCACTCCTGACATATGGTTGTCAAGCCTCTGCTTGAAGACCTCCAAAGTAGGAGACTCCACCACACTCCTTGGCAGCAAATTCCACTGTCGAACAGCTCTTACTGTCAGGAAGTTCTTCCTAATGTTTAGGTGGAATCTTCTTTCTTGTAGTTTGGATCCATTGTTCCGTGTCCGCTTCTCTGGAGCAGCAGAAAACAACCTTTCTCCCTCCTCTATGTGACATCCTTTTATATATTTGAACATGGCTATCATATCACCCCTTAACCTCCTCTTCTCCAGGCTAAACATACCCAGCTCCCTTAGCCGTTCCTCATAAGGTATCGTTTCCAGGCCTTTGACCATTTTGGTTGCCCTCCTCTGGACACGTTCCAGTTTGTCAGTGTCCTTCTTGAATTGTGGTGCCCAGAACTGGACACAGTACTCCAGGTGAGATCTGACCAGAGCAGAATACAGTGGCACTATTACTTCCCTTGATCTAGATGCTATACTCCTTTTGATGCAGCCCAGAATTGCATTGGCTTTTTTAGCTGCCGCGTCACACTGTTGGCTCATGTCAAGTTTGTGGTCAACCAAGACTCCTAGATCCTTTTCACATGTACTGCTCTCAAGCCAGGTGTCCCCCATCTTGTATTTGTGCCTCTCATTTTTTTTTGCCCAAGTGCAATACTTTACATTTCTCCCTATTAAAGTTCATCTTGTTTGTTTTTGCCCAGTTCTCTAATCTGTCAAGGTCGTTTTGAAGTGTGATCCTGTCCTCTGGGGTGTTAGCCACCCCTCCCAGTTTGGTGTCATCTGCAAATTTGATCAGGATGCCCTTGAGTCCATCATCCAAGTCGTTGATAAAGATGTTGAATAAGACTGGGCCCAAGACAGAACCCTGTGGCACCCCACTAATCACTCTTCTCCAGGATGAAGAGGAACCATTGATGAGCACCCTTTGGGTTCGGTCAGTCAGCCAGTTACAAATCCACTGAGTGGTAGCATAGTCAAGACCGCATTTTACCAGCTTCTTTACAAGAATATCATGGGGCACCTTGTCAAATGCCTTGCTGAAATCAAGGTAGGCTACATCCACTGCGTTCCCTTCATCTACCAGGCTTGTAATTCTGTCAAAAAAGGAGATCAGGTTAGTCTGACATGACTTATTTTTCAGAAATCCATGCTGACTATTGGTGATCACAGCATTCCTTTCTAGGTGCTCACAGACTGTTTGCTTAATGATCTGCTCCAGAATCTTCCCTGGTATTGATGTCAGACTGACTGGGCGGTAATTGTTTGGGTCCTCTCTTTTCCCCTTTTTGAAAATAGGGACAACATTTGCCCTCCTCCAGTCTGCCGGGACTTCGCCTGTTCTCCAGGAATTCTCAAAGATGACTGCCAGTGGTTCTGAGATCACATCTGCCAGTTCTTTTAATACTCTTGGATGCAGTTCATCTGGCCCTGGAGACTTGAATACATCTAAACTAGCCAAGTATTCTTGTACTATCTCCTTAGTTATTCTGGGCTGTGTTTCCTCTGCTGAATCATTTGCTCCAAATTCTTCAGGTCGGGCATTGTTTTCTTTATCGGAGAAGACTGAGGCAAAGAAGGCATTGAGGAGTTCAGCCCTTTCTGTGTCCCCTGTTTGCGTTTCACCATCTTCTCCTGTGAGTGACCCCACTGTTTCTTTGTTCTTCCTTTTGCTACGAACATACCCATAAAAGCCTTTTTTTGTTGTTGCTTTTAACCTCTCTAGCAAGCCTGAGTTCATTCTGTGCTTTAGCTTTTCTGACTTTGTGTCTACACGTGCTGGCTATTTGTTTGAATTCCTCTTTGGTGGTTTCCCCCCTTTTCCATTTTTTGTGCACATCCTTTTTTAATCTTAACTCAGTTAAAAGTTCTTTAGATAGCCACCCTGGCTTCTTTAGGCACCTTCCATGTTTCCGTCTCATTGGTATTGCCTGACGTTGTGCTTTTACTATCTCTCTCTTAACAAACTCCCAGCCATCATGAACTCCCTTTCCTTTTAGTATTACTGTCCATGGGATCTCACCCAGCACTTCCCTAAGTTTTATGAAGTCAGCTTTCTTAAAGTCAAGAAATTGAGTCCTAGTATGCTTGGCTGCTCCTTTCCGCTGTATAGTACTGACAGGCAGTGACTCTCCAGTGTTGTAGATATGATTTTTTTTCCCCTGTCCCCACCTTCAGATGTTGAGGAAAGAACCTTGGATCTTTCTTTTCTGCAATGCCTGATTAAAGCATAGAATCACAGAACTGTAGTGTTGGAATGGATCCCAAGGGTCATCTAGTCCAACCCCCTGCAGTGCAGAAATCTCTGCTAAAGCATCCATGGAAGATGACCATCCAACCTCTTCTTTAAAACCTCGAAGGAAGGAGAGTCCACAACGTGTTACGATATAGAAGCAATGCGGCCACGAGCTGGAAGCTTGAAAGCAAAACATAATGGGAATGTTGGGACTGTTCCATGGGAAACAGAGGGACAGTCTATTCACAGTGCGAAGCACTGGAATTAGCTCAGAATGTAATATGAGCTGTACAGGAAGTACAGGAGGAGTTTTTGTCTCTCTGCTGTTGGAGTTTGAAGAGAGCAGACGTGTTTTCTGTGACGCTGCAAAGACAGAAATAAAGGCATGTAAATACGTTTCTGTCTATCTCTTTCCCCTGCCGGGGGGGGGCAGGAATGAGTGGTGTGTTCTTCTCACGCTGAGGAGGATCGCCGATCACGACCTAGCCTGTATCCTGCCAGAGAATGCAGACAGGGAGGTCAACCGGAGATTCAAGCCGGGTGCCTGGAGAGTGGCCAGTTTCTCCTGATAAAGGCTTGAAATCCCAACACAACCTGCCAAGGGAAGTCTGTTCCATTGTCAAACAGTTCTTACTGTCAGAAAGTTCTTTCTGATGTTTAGTTGGAATCTTCTTTCCTGCAACTTGAAGCCATTGGTCTGGGTCCTACCCTTTGGAGCAGGAGAAAACAAGCTTGCTCCGTCATCCATGTGGCAGCCCTTTAGATATTTGAAGATGGCTATCATATCTCCTCTCAGTCATTTCCGTAAGGTTCTACACTTAAGCAGGAAGAACCAGATGCACAAATATAAGATGGGGGACAATTGTCTTGCCGGTAGTACACGGGGAAAGGATTTAGGGGTCTTGGTAGACCACAGTCATCACATAAGTCAACAGTGTAATGCAGCATCAAAAAAAGCTAATGCTATTCTTGATTGCATCAAAACAAGTCTAGTGTCCAGATAAAGGGAAATAATAGTACTGCTCTATTCTGCCTTGGTCAGACCACACCTGGTGTACTGTGTCTGGTTCTGAGCACCCCAATATAAGAAGGATAAAGATAAGCTGGAAGAGGTGCAGAAGAAGGCCACCAAGATGGGGAAGGCTATGGAAGTCAAGGCTTCATAAGCAATGGTTGAGGGAGTTGGGCATGTTTAGCCTCAATAAGAGGAGACTGAGAGGAGATAGCCATTTTCAAATATCTAAAGGACTGAGGCCACAGTAGGAGAGGGGTGGGATGCAGCTGGAGAAATATCTAAGTGGGAGTGGCACCTATAAGTTGGGGGTCAGATCCGCTGCCTGGTGGATTGGGCAAATCCTGACACCTGACGTAGTCTCCTCACATGGCCTAATGGGCAGGCAAGCCTTGCTTTTAGTCAAACCCTGTTTTAGGGCAGGTAGCCATTCTTTGGGTGCTTCCAAAACATCAGGGACTTTGGATACAGATCTCTGCACCTAGCAGACAACAGAATTGTTTTGCAACCATAAAGGTCTGGTATATGTTCCTCTGCAGGTCAATGTGTTAATGACATACTTGATCTCTGCCCCATGGATGAATTTATTGGTCAACGGAGGGACATCCCCCAAACCGCAACATACATTTTTCAAAATGTTATAAATCTTAAGCATGAGCCACTCATAAAAAAACTAGTTTTGCTACCTTCTCCTGAAATTTTCCTGCTTATCTTCCCTGCTTTCTTGAAACTGATTTTACAGCTTTTTGCTTTGTCTCTCATTTTCAGGATCTGGTCTTTGGCTGGTTTTTCCCCTTTTATTATTTATTAAACCAGTGAAGAACATCAGAAGAGCCCTGTTGGATGAACCACAATAGGTCAGCTTCCTGTTCTTGGAGTGGCCAACAGATGCCTGTCAGTGAATACTGGTGCATAGAACCATAGCCAGGTGACTTGAGATTACTTGAGTTCATGAAGATGTGAATTAATTATACAATGCATATCTATATCCCATCCCTTAAGCCAGTGAGTTAAGTAACTAGATGACACAGGACATCTTCCAGCCCTATGTGAAGATCCTGGGTATTGAACCTGGGATGTTCTGCATGTAGTGCAGGTTCCCTGCCATTGGGCCATCACCCTTCTGGAAGCAGGAGGCAAGAGAGAATGTATGCTCAACAAACAGGTCATCTGCAAGGGACCACAGGCAACATTTCCCATGTGACTAGTGGGGAATGCAGAAATATCAAGGGGCAACCCCATGGATGCTCTGTGGGAGGCTACTCTCAGCATTCCAACTTGGTCTTAAACAGAGGTATGCTTGCTATGAGAGGGTCCTGTTTGTCTGCCCTCTTGCAATAAAATTCTGCATACCTTTGGATCTGGAAAGCAGCCAGGAAATGCTGCCCATCTGGCTCCACAAGACCAGGTGTGTTATATGCCCATGTGATTAGCCAGGATCTTTCAGGACCCACCTCTACAGCCCCTCACACCAGCTATTTAATAAATGGCTGCAGCGCTTCAGAGCACCAAGTAGAAGAAAGATGGAGCAAATCCTCTTGTTCCTCCTGGTCTGCATATGTGAGCAGGGGCTTTCAGCCTCAGCTCCAGTTGGTGAGTATTGAACAGTTTGCCCTTGGTAATTGTTTCTTTTAAACAGAACATTAGTGTCTAGAGCAAGTATGTCCAAGGTGTCTGTAATGGTTCTAGGGGTTGCTCATGCGTAAGCCAGTGCAAACACCTGCCTGGATTGCATGAGTGAACCTTTTCTGTCCGGACAGCCACTCACCCGTGGCTGTCTCAATCGCTGGCAGGATCCGTCAGTGGGCGTTTCTTAAACTTCTTCCAGCAAAGAAGCTCTTTTACGCCTAGTCTCCTCCTACTCTCTCTGCGCAGAAGCCTTCTGTGCAAGGAGGGCGTAGGCAGCGGAGGACCTCTACTCTCCCCGCTAATCCCCGGCAAGGAGTCATGGGACCGCCTCGCTTCCCCCATCTGCCCCCCTTCTCCACTGGTGCTACGCTTATTCTCCTCCCCAGAGGATGGGCTGCCTCTCCCAATCCAGGGACTCTCTCCGGAATCCATATGGATTTTGCTCTCTCCCTCCGGCACTGATGGCAGTTCCCTGACAGTGTCCAACAGGCTGTCCAAGGTTCTCACAGTACAAATATCAGGAATGTGTGGGTTGGCGTAATTAACTGGGAGGGAAAACAACACAGTGAGACCTAAGCTTGCTGAATTGCCACAGAATGTTGACTGAATGTTGAGGGTGTGGGAAATGGAAAGCACACAGGAGACGGAATAGAATGGAGTGTCCTGCAGGAGGGCATTTAGAGGATGGCACAGAAATATCGTCTTTGCCTGACCTATACCAAGTGAGTCAATTTCTGACTGGCTTTTGCTGTAACTAGATAAGAAAAAAGGTTATTCTCTAAGAAATATGCATTGGGAATTGGTTGGTGCAAGAACGCTGGACAACAATTAACCAAGTGAGAGAACTAACTAGCCATTTCTTTCTTCCTTCTAAAGAGGTCCATGGAATACTTCCCAAGAGCAAAACTAAAGGAGTTGATTTCTGTGGTGTGGACAAGTATTACTACATTGTCCGTTCAGACCTGGGCTGCTACTTGAGATCTACTAATTTCAATGCAGGCGAAGACCTGGAGATATTTGGTCTGCACAACGCTGTCCGTGGTGGAGACCACTACCTGGCCCATAGTGATGACTTATTTTATGTTATCAAGGGGGACTCTTACCGCCGAGTAACCAACCTGAACGCTGACAGTGATAGTGTGGTCTACACTCTCCATCCCAACTGCCAAAACGGAGACCATTACTTCTCCCATGATAAGTACTTTTACATTATATTCAAGAAGAAGGGAGTGTACCGCCGTGTCACCAATATGCATGAAGACCTAGATGTCGTTCAGAAACCCCTTCACCCAAAGGCCAAAGACGGTCTGTATTACTGGGGAATCAAGGACCATATATACCTTGTGAAACCAAATAGCAAATGGGGAGTTGAGTATCACCGAATGGACGACTTTTCAAACGCAAACCCTTCCACATTTTCCTTCCATGCTAGTGTGCTCAACTTCCTCCCTGGAGGCGTGTCTATAAATCATGGTAAAGCTTTTGGTGTCTGGCAGCCTGTCAAGACTGTCAGTAATAATGCCAAAATAAGTGTTGCTTGGGAACAGCAAATTGTTAGGAAGGTTGGATATGAGAAGAAAGAGATGCACAGCATGGAACACAACTGGAAAGTATCTTCGAGTGTTACAGTTGGGGCAGAAGGTCTCACTAAATTACTGTTGACGGCACAAATTTCCCTGACAGCTGAATATGGTGGGACGAAGATTGACAGCAAAGACGAAGCATGGAGCGATGCAACTGAAGTCTCTGAAAAAGTCAGCTTCACTCTTCCTCCAAATTCCAACATTTATTTCTGGCAATACAAGCTGGGTTTGGGCAAGGTTGACGTATTGTACTGCCGTGACCTGGCTTTTACTGATGATTCTAAGCCACCTACTTTTGTCCCATTGCCATCGGCAGCTGATTAACCCAAAATAAAATACCTATAGGCTACTAATTCTTTTCTCTGGTTAAGGGTACTTTAAAATTGTCTCTGTCCAGGCTCTTGTACTTCACCATCTGTGTTTCTCTTTACCTGCTTTCATTTCTTTGGGGAGGGTTCCTAGCACAATGGAAACACATATACTTTGCATTCAGAAGGCCTCAGGTGCAGACCCTTTCTCTGAAACCGCCGAAAGCAGCTATCAGTCTATATACGCCAGGTGTGGGAAAACTTTGGCTCTCTGCAGTTGTTTCTGAACTACAAGTCCCCTCAGGCCCAGACGTTCCCAGTGTAGCTAATACTGAGCTGGGCGGATCAATGGTCTGACTCAGTATAAGACAGTTCCCTTTATTCCTAAATTCTAAAGCTTGAGAAAGCAGAATGGAGTGAACATCCATTACCTTTAGGTGGGGTATGGCAGATTTGGTTGATGAATGAATACAAAGAAACCTCTTTTGACAGCATGGATTCTATGGATTCTAACCAAAGGTTAGAAAGATAGCTGCAGTAGTTTTTCTACTAGGGCAGCACTTCCATTTTGGGGGTATGCCAAAAATGAATCATTTCATCTTCCCTAGTATTTTGTGGGTAGTTGGCCTGAAACACAAAGGGGTGCACTTCTGGGACTGCCACTTCCTCAGTCAGTGGTGGGGATCCTTTAACCCACAGGCCTAATTCAGCTTAAAAGAGTTCCCAATTCAGCCCACAAATCCATTTCCAAAAGTTACTTGCCCTATAATTGATGGCATATATGGACAAGCTAAAATGCTCCTAGTGGTTGGCTTCTGATATTTTCATTTTACAGAATATTTTATTGGTTACAGAGGAGTTCTCCTTGTCCTATCCTCCTGGAAAATAAATTCCTTCAAGGGACTGAGCCTTAGTGCAGGTCCATAGTTACCATTTTTGATCTTACATTGGAATCCTGCAGAGTATGAGGCAACCATTTCCTGGCTGTATGCTTATGGCTGCAAAAGTGAATATGTAAAGTAGCACCAGTCTTGGATTATCTCCTCTTAGGGCTCAAATAAATCTCACAGCAAATCTCACCCACTGTGTGTTTTTGCATACACATAATTAGAGAAAGAATACGAAAATGTTCATCATTCTATTTCTATTTCAGATTTTAAAGTATTTTTATAATTCCTTTATTTCATAATTTCCATCAATATTTCAATTATTTGGGATTCGTTAATTTGTGTTTTGGATATCATTATTTCTTACAACTAGTGTCCCTCCTTCTATTCTGCTATTGATTTCTTTGATTTGAAGTAGAATGGGGTTGGCAGGCAGCACACTCCTGCCTCTGAATATCAGGTCTGCCAGATTTCAGGGAGATTAGATATAGGGGTCCCATTTGAGAGGAAAATGAATAAAGAGAAGACATTAGATATACTTCAGTTGCCTATGTGGAAAAGGGAGGAAAAATTCTGCCTGTTAGGAGAACATTACTCAGAATTTTAGGGGTTGTGACTGTGGAGTAGCAAAGGTGCACGAAGGAGAGGTTCCCAAGCCGGAAATACATGGGTGTTTGCAGTCAAAGGTCAGAAGTTACTGTCAGCATTTCCTACTATGGTAGCTGTGTAAACCAGAAGGAAGACCACAAAGAGGATGGCTTGGGACTCCCATGTTGGGGATATGGCCATCAAGAGGAATTCATTTATTCTTGTGTGGTTTTCTTTTAGGTGCCCCATGTAGCCTGTAAAAGGGGGAAAGAAACAGGGGTTTTTTATTCATTCATTCAAAAATATTTTCTAAGCTGCCAGCTCACTAAAGAAATTATCTCAGTGTGCCATAAAATAGGTTTCTTTGGGAGAGAGGGCAGGGAATAAGTAAGTAAGTAAACCAAAGCCAAACCCAATGTTGTTCCCATTCAGAGTAAACCAATTGAAATGACTGAACATGACTAACTTTCATTTGCTTCCAAGGGAGGGAATAGTTTTGATTCACTTCTGTATGCATGAATTATTTATTCCAGAACTGCTCTTCTGCATAGCTTTTTCTGGAAGATGTTTGAGTAGAATATATCATGTTTAAAAGCCAGGGCTTTTTTCTGGGGATACTCCAGGTTATGAAGTATCAACACCTTTCTTTCTAGAAGAAAAGCACTGTTTAAAACCAACACTTTATTCCACATCCCTTTATTCCATCACTCCTGGTTCAATTTATTGTCTTTAACATGAGGTTCTAGATTCAATGTAGTAATTTAGAAAGGATATTTTAAACACCCACATATATACAACATCCATCAACTGAACTTAAAATTCTCTATCTGGATAAGCAAAGTCACAACTTGCTCTTAAGATTCTCATATTAAAGATGAGCAACAGTATGGGTTGTGTATACAAAGGGGGTTGCAGAATAGGAAAAGGCAGTGCTTTTTCTGGGGAAACGCAGGGGTAATAATAATAATAATAATAATAATAATAATAATAATAATTTATTATTTGTACCCCGCCCATCTGGCTGGGTTTCCCCAGCCACTCTGGGCGGCTTCCACAGAAACCAAAAAAGACTAAAATATCATACATTAAAAGCTTCCCTGAATAGGGCCGCCTTAAGATGTCTTCTGAATGTCAGGTAGTTGTCCATCACCTTGACATCCGATGGGAGGGCATTCCACAGGGCGGGCGCCACCACCGAAAAGGCCCTCTGCCTGGTTCCCTGTAGCTTCGCTTCTCGCAATGAGGGAACCGCCAGAAGGCCCTCGGCGCTGGACCTCAGTGTCCGGGCAGAACGATGGGGGTGGAGACGCTCCTTCAGGTATACTGGGCCGAAGCCGTTTAGGGCTTTAAAGGTCAACACCAGCACTTTGAATTGTGCTCGGAAACGTACTGGGAGCCAATGTAGGTCTTTCAAGACCGGTGTTATGTGGTCTCGGCATACCCCTAAACATTTTGTGAATCTAAGTTTGGTCTCATTGAAGGGCAGTATTTCAATACGATAGGAAAAATGAGAGTATGCCTAAACATTTCTTTTTAGGGGGGAAAAGCACTTGTAAAAGGTATGGAAATGATGTAATCACACAGAAAGAGAGAACTGAGAAGAGAAAGGTAGAGAAGCAAAAAAGAGTGAAGGTGAAAATGGAGGTGGAAAGGGGGTTGCAAAAAAGGAAAAGAATGAGTAGGAGGCATGGGAATGAGGTTGAATAAGCACTGGCATAAAAAGGTCTACAGAATGGGAATTGGACAGAGCACAATAGGGCTTTACAGCTTCTGTGGGCCCAATGTCCTGGACAACTTCTGTGATATTCCAATAACTGATCAAGCTGGGCTGTGTGGACACATATGCCTATGAGTTCCTCATGGTAGTCAACAGCAGTTTGCTAACTCTGCCATGCTTTCTGGTCTTGCTCCTTTCATACATCACAGTTCTGACCAGCCTCTGTGGCGATTTCAGACAGGGCAGTGGGAAAGCTCTGTCCACCTGCAACTCCCACCTGACAGTAGTTCCCACCTGTTCTCTAAATCATCCTCTTTAGTTGCCCATCCCAGCTAATGGAGAATGTTGATGATCAAGGGTTAATGATATAGCTGCTATGTAGGAGACAAAGCTAAAGATTCCAGGTTGGTATTAGCATGTTTGCTACAAGAGGGTCTTGTATATCTGCATTCTTCATATAAAAACTTCCTGATTTGGAAAGCAGCTATAGAATGCTGTCCATCTCGATGCACAAACATTTATGTGTTACAGGCAGATGTAACTGACCAGGACCCTTGATGACCTATTTCTATACCCTCTCACTTCAGCTATTGAATCAATGGCTCACTGATTGACACAGAGATGAAAGATACTGTAAATTCTCTTCCTTCTCCAGGTCTTCCTTTATAGGCTAGGTGTTACAGTGAGTATTGAGCAACCAGGATTGATTATGGGTTCTATTGGCATAGAACATAAAGCATTCAAAGTGACTGCGGAATTCCTATGGGGGTCTGCAAAAGGGCCATAGCTCACTGATTGCTTGTTCAGCTGTACGTATGGATAGAGGCTTGTGGGAGTACATGATGTGTGAAGTGTGTTACGCACGTATGCATGTTATGCCTCTCTGTGTGCATGTCTTCCTGGTCTGGTACTGCCTGCTTTTGTTAGGCCAGAAGGCTGGTCATGGGGAGAAAGGTTTCCTCATTTCTATATACATTTGAGAGGGGAGCATGCACACTTTTCATTTACTCCAGAGGTTGATCACACCCAAGTTGCACTCAGGTCCTACTTGAGGACTTCCCATAATGGGAAGTGCAGTTGGCCATTGTAAGGACAGTATGCTGAACCAGCTGTTCCATGGATCTAATCCAGCTGCATTCTTTATGTGTCCTTATTAGGGGGAGAAACTTAGCTTCAGCACTCCAATAGCCATAACCCACTCTGCTCAATTCTCATCACATGCTCACACAGGCCAAAGCTCTGCCTGCCCCCCTCTCTCCCTCTCCATCTGCCTCATTCAAAACTTTAGGCTGTTCTTTTTCATACAAAGACTCCTTGCCTTGCCTGTCCCATCGGATGAGGGAAAGAAAGATGTGTTCATTTAGCAACCCCGCTGCACATGGCAGTATAGCAATTCCTTGCCATTGGCTTTTCCCTTGTCTTTACTGAGATGAGCTATGAAGAACCATCACTGTTTTATTCTCAGGGCATCACATCACCTATATTTGCCTTATGAAAGAGTATGCCAGCCTAGGTTTCCCCAACTAGCATGACAAGCTATCAAACTTCCTCTTTACTACATCCCAAGCTTTAAGCATAGATTCACTCAATTGGAAGGCACTGTAGAGGTTAGCACTCCAAGGTCACAAATCTCATTGAGTTGGACCCATGGCTCATCACAGCATTATCTTCCCTGGCAGGGCTAGCAACAGCTGCTCATGGCCCCAAACAGGGATCATACCCCAGTCTCCTATATGAAATCCTTTAAGTGGGTATAGCATGGAATGGACCTAGAATCTTATGCATGCAAAGCATGTGTCTTAACTATGAGTAATGATGAACCAG